TAGGTGTGGGCTTCCGTATTTGTATCCATCTCTATATAGTTTTCATCTCCTTGCCATTGTCAGCATCAGGTGTAACTATGCCAAAGCTACCCACAAACTGACAAAAACATGTAGCTACAAACTCTAAATGTCGTGACAGTATACACCAAAATCTATAAAGTTTCCATTGTTTTTGACTTACAGTTGTCACATAGTGTACATACTAAATTATTGACTTCTTTGAGTGCCTCCTCTCCTGCTCATTCAAATCATCACTCATTTCCTGCTTTCATGGAGAAAGACTGCTAAACTAAACTTTTAATTGTCGTGCCCCTTAACTTACATACTGGCACAAAGTTCGATGTAGAGAGGGTTATTATATGGGCTGTGGCTGAATAGACACGCAATGACCCAGATAAGAAAGGTTAATCATCCATCATGTTTATATTTCAGCCGACAACAGCAACATTATTGTATAGGCAATCGGATAGATGTAACTTCTAATGTCGCATCTAATTTACCTTTTATAAAAGAGCATTCATATGTGAAAGAAGTTGTTTACTCTGCTGACACACACACACACACACACACCTATACATACAATTAAGCCTCCACAGTCATCCTGGCATCTACTCAATAATTCAATGCTTTCTTTGCTGTCACTGGACCAGAATACCCGGTTGGACCCCGAGGAGTACTTCACCAAGCAGGAGCGGATTGGGAAGGGTTCCTTTGGAGAGGTCTACAAAGGAATCAACAACCGCACGAAGGAGGTGGTGGCGATTAAAATTATAGACCTGGAGGAGGCCGAGGATGAGATTGAAGACATTCAACAGGAGATCACAGTGTTGAGCCAGTGTGATAGCCCTTTTGTTACCAAGTATTATGGATCATACCTGAAGGTGAGATCATAACGCAACAAGACGAAGGGACGCATACACAGAGTATTTCAAGTTATCTACATGAAGATGCTTAGAGACACAGACATGGTGCCAAACAGCCTGAGGCAAAGCAGTATTTTAAATCTTAAACTTCATCAAGTATTTTGTCCTCTCAGGGGACCAAGTTGTGGATTATCATGGAGTATTTAGGTGGAGGATCTGCTCTGGATCTGGTAAGAAGACTTATATTTTTACGCAGCTTACAAAGTGTGATGCAAATTGGCAATTTTTACACTGGAGAAGCAAAACCCGACCTGTTCTTGGAGCTTTTGCCCAACGTCCACCTTTTTGTGATTTGCTCCTCCTCCTAGCTCCGTCCAGGGCCTCTGGAAGAGACTTACATTGCTACTATATTGAGGGAAATACTGAAGGGGCTGGAGTATCTGCACTCTGAAAGGAAGATCCACAGAGATATCAAAGGTAATAAAAGTTTAGCGTCTTAAATATATATATATTCATATACTTTTACCGTGTTGTCAGATGCCGGACAGAATAAGTCCACACACTAAAATATGCTCTCAAGCTGCAGAAATGTATCAACACCATAAAATCTCACAACGTACTGAAGGTGTTAAATGTGTGTGTTTGTGAGAAGCTCATGTTCTCTTCTCTGCAGCTGATGTTGTGCTCCTAGATTTTGGGAATTATTCAAAAAAAGTACGACAGCAAGGTTAATAATTAAGAAGACCGGGTTGATGATCTACATGGATTCTGTTTGTTTCCTCCACAATGAAACTGGGGAAGAAACTGCAGAGTGTCCTTTGTCCCTTTGTCCGTCCATCTGTAATGCACACAATACAAAATGCTTACATTTTCACAAAACCTCTTCAGGGAATAATTGTTGTTCTGGCATTTAAAGAAGTTGCGCGTGATTGGCCGAAACATTTTCTCTCTCTCTTTCTCCTAGCTGCCAATGTGCTGTTGTCGGAGCAGGGCGAAGTGAAGCTGGCAGATTTCGGGGTGGCCGGACAGCTGACAGATACCCAGATTAAGAGGAACACATTCGTAGGCACACCTTTCTGGATGGCTCCAGAGGTTATCAAACAGTCCGCTTACGACTTCAAGGTGAGGACAGAGTCCGTGAGATGTTACAGCTACCCATAAGGGGATACTGGTTTGTTATTGGTGGAGGTGGAGGTGTTACAGGCCTCAGTTTGAAAGAGCCTGATGACAGATATGTGTCTGAGGAAACAGGAAAAATGATGAGGCAGGCGAACGTGTGGTTTCTTCCTTCAACGTCTGTGAAAACAATCATAGTCTCCTGTATGAATTTCCTCATTTTGACATTCCAGAAAGTACAAAGTAGGTCAAATGCATCAAATTGTCTTCATCGTGTCCATAAAGAATGTACAAAAAAACTAAAATGATCTAAATTCACACTACTATTTCACATTTTTGTGTGCGTCACAGAGGAACTGATAAGAATTTTCAGCATGGGAAGAATTACTTGATTCACATCATTTTAGTTAAGGAAGTGTATTTTCCAGTGTTTGTATGTGAAGTTAACACACTTAACTTACACACCACTCTCCCCCTCAGGCGGATATTTGGTCCCTGGGAATCACTGCTATTGAGTTGGCTAAAGGGGAACCTCCCAACTCTGATCTACACCCCATGAGGGTCCTTTTCCTTATCCCGAAAAACACACCACCCACACTTGAGGGACCTTACAGCAAGCCCTTCAAAGAGTTTGTGGAGGCTTGTCTAAATAAAGACCCTCGTTTTGTAAGTCATACCTGCCTGCATCCAAATGTTTATTATTGGATTAGCATGCCTTGTCCTTCGTAGGAATTATAATTTGTGCTGTGTTTTCTCAAATCTTCAAACTTCATCCAAATCACATTTTTGTCATGCACCAAAATGTTGAATCTAAGTAAAGTGACGCTGGACTCCTTATGTTATGTTATAACTAGACAATTTATCCCTTTTTGATTCTTCTTCAAGCTTCATTCACTGAATGTCCTTTTATTTAAATATGTCTGCACAGAGGCCAACAGCCAAAGAGCTCCTAAAGCACAAGTTCATCACACGCTACACCAAGAAGACGGCCTATCTGACGGAGCTGATCGACCGCTACCGCCGCTGGAAGTCGGAGGGACACGGGGAGGAATCCAGCTCGGACGACTCTGATATGTCAGTCTCAAGAACACACATTGATACACTGAAGAATTTTAATTTTCCAAAGGATATATTCACAGCCACGTTGTTAAATTGCTTAGGTATTAGAGAATTTAAGGATGATTAATGCAGGATTTACTAGAATAACTGCGTACCCACCAAGTAGCATTAGTAATGAACCTTTATGTGCTGCCTATTTACAAACATTCTGGGGTCATATTGGTTTCCCTCATATTTTTAAATCTCTCTTATCTTCATTCTTCCCTTCAGGGATGCTGATGGTGATACAGACACGTGTCCCATGTGGACCTTCCCTACAGTCAGACCCAGCTCTATGAACAAGTTACAGAAGAGCTACACAGATTCAGAGGTCACACACACTTACACACTTACACACACACTTATTTCCCCCCCCCCCCCCCCTCTCTAACATCTTTTTCCTCTTCTCAGTCAGGCGATTCGGTGAAAAGGCAACCCAAGTCACAATGCTTGTCTGCTTTGGTAACACCGATCTTCAGAGAGGTAGGCCCAACTGTTAAATACATAAATAAATAAAGAATATACAGTTGTGTGAAAAAGTGTTTGCCCCCTTCCTGATTTTTTTGCATGTTTGTCACACTTAAATGTTTCAGATCAAACAAATTTAAATATTAGACAAAGATAACACAAGTAAATACAAAATGCAGTTTTTAAATGAAGGTTTTTATTATTAAGGGGGAAAAAAAAATCCAAACCTACATGGCCCTGTGTGAAAAAGTGATTGCCCCCCCCTGTTAAAACATAAATTAACTGTGGTTTATCACATCTTTGGAAAGCTGAGTTCAATTTCTCTAGCCACACCCAGGCCTGATTACTGCCACACCTGTTCTCAATCAAGAAATCACTTAAATAGGACCTGCCTGACAAAGTGAGGTAGACCAAAAGATCCTCAAAAGCTAGACATCATGCTGCGATCCAAAGAAATTCAGGAACAAATGAGAAACAAAGTAATTGAGATCTATCAGTCTGGAAAAGGTTACAAAGCCATTTCTAAAGCTTTGGGGCTCCAGCGAACCACAGTGAGAGCCATTATCCACAAATGGCGAAAACATGGAACAATGGTGAACCTTCCCAGGAGTGGCCGGCCGACCAAAATTACCCCAAGAGCGCAGCGACGACTCATCCAAGAGGTCACAAAAGACCCCAGAAGAACATCCAAAGAACTGCAGGCCTCACTTGCCTCAATTAAGGTCAGTGTTCATGACTCCACCATAAGAAAGAGACTGGGCAAAAATGGCCTGCATGGCAGAGTTCCAAGACGAAAACCACTGCTGAGCAAAACGAACATAAAGGCTCGTCTCAGTTTTGCCAGAAAACATCTTGATGGTCCCCAAGACTTTTGGGAAAATACTCTGTGGACTGACGAGACAAAAGTTTAACTTTTTGGAAGGTGTATGTCCCATTACATCTGGCGTAAACGTAACACGGCATTTCAGAAAAGGATCATCATATCAACAGTAAAATATGGTGGTGGTAGTGTGATGGTCTGGGGCTGTTTTGCTGCTTCAGGACCTGGAAGACTTGCTGTGGTAAATGGAACCATGAATTCTGCTGTCTACCAACAAATCCTGAAGGAGAATGTCCGGCCATCTGTTCGTGACCTCAAGCTGAAGCGCACTTGGGTTCTGCAGCAGGACAATGATCCAAAACACACCAGCAAGTCCACCTCTGAATGGCTTAAGAAAAACAAAATGAAGACTTTGGAGTGGCCTAGTCAAAGTCCCGACCTGAATCCGATTGAGATGCTGTGGCATGACCTTAAAAAGGCGGTTCATGCTCGAAAACCCTCCAATGTGGCTGAATTACAACAATTCTGCAAAGATGAGTGGGCCAAAATTCCTCTACAGCGCTGTAAAAGACTCATTGCCAGTTATCGCAAACGCTTGATTGCAGTTGTTGCTGCTTAGGGTGGCCCAACCAGTTATTAGGTTTAGGGGGCAATCACTTTTTCACACAGGGCCATGTAGGTTTGGATTTTTTCCCCCCTTAATAATAAAAACCTTCATTTAAAAACTGCATTTTGTGTTTACTTGTGTTATCTTTGTCCAATATTTAAATTTGTTTGATCTGAAACATTTAAGTGTGACAAACATGAAAAAAAAATAAGAAATCAGGAAGGGGGCAAACACTTTTTCACACAACTGTATACATGTGTATATAAAATAGAACTTTGAACACAGCACAACAAGAGGAGTCCTTAATCTAGAGAAGTTAATCTCGTCTATAAAAGTGGATTTTTTTTAAAACATCTTCATTTAGTAACGGTTACTTCTCAGCTGTTGAGCCCTAGACAAAGTTAAACAAGGTTCATTTTAAACTAATTTAGTCCCAGAGTAACTATTCTTCCCTCAGGAAATACTATACAGGTATTATACATGAACTTCATACTAAAGTAGAATACAACAGAAAAGAGCACAGAAGCATGTAGCTCAGTCGGTACATACAAGAGCCAACAAAACCTGACTCATGTCTGCCTTTGTTTTAAACTGTCAACAGTATAGTTGAAATAGTCTTTTTGGTTGAAGCCTTCCATTAGAAATTTTTTTTATTACCACCAGTTGAAGGAGAAGCGGCGGGCGAGTGGTGGGGGCGTAGGAGCCATTGAGGAGCTGGAAAACGCCTTCAACCTGGCCGAGGAGTCCTGTCCGGGCATCTCCGACCGCCTCGTCACACACATGATGGAGAGAGTGTGCAGGTGATGTACAAACCAGAATCGGGACCGTTTGCTGGGATGTTCAGTATCATCCATTTATTTCACTTAATCGATTTCCTGTTCTTCCAGGTTTTCTTTAAATGGTAACACCACCCCGTCTTCGCGGTGAAACCCCAGCTGGATGTAACTTAACCCTGCTCCCTTTTCTGTCTCCCAGACCTTCCGAACGTCTCAGATAAAGACCACAGAACAACCCCCCCCACTCGTATCTTTGTACCCTTCCCAGTCCTCCCCAAAGAGATCTTTTAATTAGTTATAATTAAATATTTTTACAGTTTCTTTGAGATCGGAGAGTATTTAAAACAAAAAAGCCATGACATTTAGAGCGTTGTGTATACCTGTTAGATCGAGAAGAAAAAAAACTATAATAAAGTCTATGGAAAATGTCCCATTGTCTGTTTGATGCTCACATACATTTATCTGTTAGACATGTTAGTCTGGAGGTGCATATCATGCTGTTAGTGGTGGAGCATTTATCAATGTAATTATAGTATTCATGTATTAACATTTTCTCAGAATGTAAGCTTGGGGTTTTAGGTAATTAACCTCTTCAGACACTGAACTGTAATTACTAACGAGGCTCATCGTGGCTTTGTCTGTCGGAGGCAATTAACCTCAGAAGTGAAAGCATCAGCTGATGTATGTGGACACGGTTCAGGCTGCAACTAGACACGGTGAAGGGTAGGTAAAGAATTTAGAAAGGCTCAAATCACAGATTAATAAAGTTTAATAAAACTTATTACAATATATGCATCAAGAACAATATTTGGTGCTTTATTGGATAAAAACAGCACAAAGAGGAATGTCAAGAACTCACATCTCGGCTGGTGAGGGAACCGTTGGCTACGATGACCTCATTAGGTCACTTTAATCTCTGCTCATGGAAACCACAAAGTACTCGGCAGTTGGGAAATTAAAAGTTTATACCTCAAATCTCACTGAAATAGAGAAAACAGACATGAAACAGTTAACGCTCCCTGGCACATGACTTTACAGTGGAGCGGAAACATGGAGTAATCACTTCTAATTGACTGAAAGCACCAAACGGAGGCATCACACCTCATAAGCACGTCCTTCATTTGTCAGGGCTACAGGAAGACTGTAAGAGGTCAAGGGTCACAGTTTATTTCATTCATATCAAAATTAAAAAGGAGCTTAACACTCAAATGCCATTTTACTTAAAGATACTGATCTGAGAACTGCACTAATGGATAAGTCTTTATCACTAGAGGGAGAATTCACCTGAAAGTGGGGGCTGAGAGTTGCATGCAGATGAGGTGGGTAATACGATTAACACCGAGCAAATGGAGCCCATTTATTGGGAAGCTTGTGTGGTCATTTATTCACCAGAGAGAATATGAAATCATGTTCTCTCTTCACTTAAAGAATATCAAGATAATGGCATAGCAGTGGTGGAAAAAGCTACTTCTGCTACTAGTTTTCAGCTCAGCCGACTCTCCCAATGAAGCTCCTTCACAGAGCAACGTTAGCACATGCCGAGATGTTTTAGAACTACAAGCAGAACTTTGGTTTTCTAAATAGAAGGAAAAAAAAGGAGAAGTAGCAGTTTGTATCAAAGATATATGCCACTATTTTAAAAGATGGGTCTCGTGACTTCATTTGAGTAACTGGCAAGAAGAAGAACCATGTGAAAATATATAAATGTAACTGTTTGAATATACTCAACTATGTATATATATAAAAAAAAAAAAAAAAAAAAGAAGACGACTCCAGATCCCATGAAGGATTAGAATAAAAATAGTGGCAAGCAGTGCAAGTCAATAACTTGATTACACGTTCTCCGCTATCCTCCATCTCTCTAGTCGAACTCGAGCAGTGGCTCAAATACCTACAAGTGAGAAGAGAAAAGAAAAAGTTACCCAAAATCAAGCCAGGCCTCACGAAACACCAGCATCCACAGATACCACGTTTAGGTATTTAAGATGCAAATGCAGGGAATGAGGTGTCCCATTGTTGAGGAAATGAAGTATAGCGTGTGCTAGCTTGGAGAAATGAGCATTTCCATGAGTGTCCTACCGTAGACGTCTCACACATGGGGGCTGTCTCCCTCGCCGTCTCCCTGCTTCTGCATCTGAGCCTGCATCTTGGTAATCATCTCCTGCATTCGTCTCAACTGTGGGACACAGAACATCAACATGTATGACAGGGCAACAACAACAACTGCACTTAAACCAAAGCACATTCACTTAGACTGCTGAGATTAAGAGGCATCTTAATACCCGTCTGTCAGTTATAAATAATTGATTAGAAACAACAGGTCCCACATCGACACCAACTGTGAACCTGAATCATTCACCAGTTTAACATGGGTATTATAAGATTAAAACACTGAAAACAGAAACAATTCTTGTATTTAATTGTTCCTAGTTTTTAAATTGCGACTTGTAGGACAGTGAATAATCTATGTGCAGTTATTCACTAGCTTGCTGTGTCTGTGTGCTAAATATAAAGCTACAGATCCAAAGCTCACTGAAATATTTCCCCCTAGCTCACTGAAAGAAAGCAAATAAGTGTATTTCCCCACTATTCCTCTACGATCCATGAAACATGCATTTCTTTATAATAAGCCCAAAGTGGTGGAGCATCTGAAATGACTCACCTCCGCCTCCTTCTCCTGCAGGATCATATCCTTGTCCATTTCCTCCGGCTCCGGTCCCTTTCTGCATCAACACAGCTTCAGTTACTCTTCATGTTACACGCTACAATGAATGCCGATTAACTAAAGCGTCATTAAGTTCAATGCACAGTCGGAGGTTATAAACGTAAAATCAAGTTGTGTGATGATTTCTAAAGCATCGTGAAGTTTGTGCATGTCTGCATGTCTGAAAAGTGCACGTTGAACCGTTTTAAGTTGTAGCATTAGGCAAACATGACAAAAGCCACATAGAGAAGGTGAAGAAGGGGCCAGTGGGTTAGTTCGTCTTTGCAGAAGAGAAAAGTGGGCGGCTACAACAAATCACTACAAAGAGATGAAAGCAGGAAGATTCCAGAGAGAAGTAAGAGAGTCAGGGGAACAGCGTTACCTCCCCCCCAAACGGTACCTCAACAGTCCACCACCTCCATCACCGGACAGATGGCGAGGCAATGTGACGACAGTGAAACCACTGCCTTATCCTGGGTGGCCTTTTGAAGAAAGTCTAAAAGAATCTTTTTGGTCTACATTGAGTGTTAAATGATGATATGGCCACACTATGTTACATGACACACAGTAATCCTGTTTATGACCTCGACAGATACTCCAGCTGCACATGCCATTTAGCTACCGACTAGCCATGTAAAACCACAAGCCACTAGACCACAGCATTAAATCCACTTCTGCCTCACTACATGTAGTGAACATGCACGATGGTGATGAGTTAGAGCTACCGTAGGCTTCTACAGAATGATACTAGTTCAACATTATGCTGTAGGAATCGAACACAGAAGAATATCTGGAAGTACATGACCCGTTATATAGAATATAATCTAGTAACTCAGCTTCCTTCTACACAGCGCTGGGTGTTTTGGCTTGGTGTCACTACTGTAACATCTGTGGTGTCCATTGTGTTTGACTATATTTTGTTGTTTGAGGTGGGGGAGGTGCAGAGAAGCAAGCTGACAGACAAGTACGTACGCAGGAGACAGAGGCAGAATGTAACCATGGGAGGACAACCTGCCACCCCGCTTGAGGCGGTCCGAGCGGAAGTTCTCGTAGTGAAGGTCCTGAGTCACTTCCTGTAGATCCTGCATGTGGGTTCTGTGGATAAGTCACCAACAAATAAACAGTGTTGCTCAGACATTTGGAGAACTAGAGATGTTAACTGCACTGTACCTCTAGTGGGTAGAGGCTGCCTGCTTATGGAGTGCAGCATAACATAAGAAGTGTCTTTATTTTAGCCAAACGTGTCTGCACCACATTGCACTGCTAGTGTTGTTAGTGTCCATCCTTTTTTTCTCCTTTCCTATCATGGCTACATCACTCTGCCAAACTAACAACTTCGCCAAGCTAGATACAGTTTCTTTCCACAGCGTTTGAGGGGAAAACATATTGTTATTATATTCACAGTTTGGCAGGTTAGCAACTCTCAATATCACCTTTAATTTAAAGACTAAAGGAGAGCAACAGGATTCAGGCTCCTCTAACACTCACATGAGCATGATCCGCAGCTTGAGGAAATCGTTGTGTTCAGGATTCTCCACCTCCACCACGCCCCAAGGGTAGAGGCGGCCCCTCACCTTCTTCCCTTTGGCCTCAATCTGCTGGTTGGATCCCACCACTGCAAATGGGATGCTAGCCTGGAAAAGAGGAGGAGTTTATAGGTCTGTAGTCATGGTTCAATCACCAACATAAACACTTAAAAGAAATCCCTAGAGTAATTGGTTGACTTTAATGGAATTCTATGAGAGGATATAAAGCTAACTGCTTTTATTAATGACAAACTCATTTTTGTGTTGTTAAAAAAACAGCATAACACCAGCTGGTCTCATATTGATTCAGGGATGAGAGGTTTGTCAGGGAGAGGACCGTTTACCTTGAGGATCTTGGTCTGCTCTTTGAAGTCCTCATCCTCATCTGACTCGGCATCAGGAAGGTGGTAAATCTTGATGCCATGTTCGTCGATCTCATCCAGAACCTTACAAAGAAGACAGGAACAAAACACAGGTTATGATCACCTTATAGTATCCGTTATGTTATTTATATACTGTTAATGACAACCTGTTATATCCACTTAAATCAGGACTTTATGTATTAAGAAGACAACATTTCTGCTTACCAAAAACACTACCGACTAGTCCGCCTTGACACTTCCGGTCTCACTGTGGTTTATCCACCTTTTGGTTTTAGATATTTAAACTAAAGCCCTGTTTCAATATAGTACTTCAGGTACAAACTGTATTTTAAAGCGCTGGGAGGGTAAAGCAGTGACCATGAGCACACGATAGCTACTGATGGTTTCAGGAAACTGGAAAAGATCCTGAACAATGCACGACTCTTGTTGTCCTCACCCTGCGCTTGAGCCTCTCCCTCTCCCTGAGGGTGAGCGTGTCTGCCTTGGCGATGACAGGAACCACATTGACCTTATTGTGAATGGCCTTCATGAACTGAACATCCAGAGGTTTCAGCCTGGTAGGACAGGAAACGGACAGAACCAGGGTCAAAGAGAGACAGAAATATGTACCAAGCAAATATTTATTAAAAGCAACGAGTGAAGAGGGCATAAAAAAAAATAGGGTTAGTTAAATAGAAAATAATTTCTCTGTAAGAATGCCAGTATGTTCTGCAGGACTCACCCATGGCCAAGCGGGGAAATAAAATAGAAGCAGCAGTGAACTCTATTGTCAACAATGTGTCTACGATTTAGACCGCTCTCGTCATGGAGGTAGCGCTCAAACTGGTCATCGATGTAGCTGATAATGGTGCTGAAACTGAAGTAGAGAAACGTACGTCACATTTAACACTACATATCACAGTATTGTACGAGGACTTCTCCATGCTGGTAGGACACCCACTAAAGCCCGGATTCTCCTTACAAATTAAAATATTTGAAAACTTTATTTTGAACTGTACAAGGTTAGTGTCTCGTCACTGTTTAAGATCAAAGGACTGACACTGGGTAGTTTAAACTTAAAAGATATTTCATACCAGTCTTGGCTGTTGATGGCGTCTCCATATCCGGGTGTGTCTACCACAGTAAGGCGGAGCTTCACTCCTCGCTCCTCAATTTCTACCGTCGACGCCTCGATCTGAACAGTCCTTTCTATCTTTTCTGTTAGAAGATTTTTTTAATGACAATGTCGGTCAACAATTATACTTTAAACATACAGATTTCACAAAGTGGTTTAACACCAGGATCTGTAAGTGCATGTGTGTGTGTGTTGTACCTGCTGCTCCAGGGATGACTCTCTCGGGGTACAGGTCAGTGAGGAACAGGCTGTTGATCAGGGTGGATTTTCCAAGTCCAGATTCACCTTTTGACAACAAGAGGGAAACGAAACATCATCATGCAGTTAACACTAGAATGACGAGCAAAGTGAATAAATAATACGCAAGTGCTTAAAAAGACTAAAGCACAGTCGGGTTCTTGTTGGTGCAAACCTCTTCTAGTACAGAGTTCAGTGAGTAGAACAAAGGAGATCCTCACTGTGCTGCAGGAAACAAGACATATGCCTGTGATGCACAGCAGGCCGAGCACCACACGGAAAAGCATGATACTAAATCTGACGTCAGCATTAATCTTTACTAGAACAGTGTCAGGTGGATTACTAAGCACCCTTAGTGTTCACTTCATAAATCAGTCAGTAGCATTTAACGGCTACAAGTCAAGACGTCTACTGGATAGTTTCACTTTCACAGATATTAGCAGCAACAACTAAACCTGGATATCGTCTTTGAGCTCCAACTTTAACGGAGAATCTGTAGACTGAAGACTTTGAAACTGCTTTTAAATGAGTGTCTCTGCAGATTATGAATGAACTATACAGCATTATCAAACAAACTATTGATTGGTTGCCTCTGAAACTGGCACCATATAACAACAATAGGTGGGCAGACAAACATTCAGTCTGTGTGATGAAGTGTTAAATAAAAGCTGCCGGTCTGATTCCAAGACAACGATAAAGCCTTGTACCAGACTAAAAATATCTTTGCATGGATTTTTGCAGACCCACCGAGCGTTGTTTGAGTCCAGCAGTATGCTCATTTCTGTCTGGGAAGTCCCTAAAACTACAGCAGCAGTTCAGCTTTAGCAACAGCAGTGAATACAACTCAAGAAACTATATGTAAGAAACGTAAGGCACAGGGCTTCTTTCTTGGTCGAGGACAGCCCTAATAATAAACAATGTTCCTCACGTCTCACGGTCGCAGCGCTACAGATGCTGAGGAAGCTTAGCTTGTGTAGTTCACTCAGGAATGCTGCTACTGTGGTTCCCACCAGAGCCATGACAAAAGATTTACAGACGTCTTTGCTACAACCTCGGCTGCCAATGTGCCAGAATGTCTTGTATGGAAAATCCAAATCAACATGTACATTATTTACACTACAGCTTCAGGTGCATGTGGGAGAGGAGTTTTAGTGGGAAAAAGTACCTGTTTTTTAGGGTAAGCATAAAAACGTGACGCATACTGAAGAGACATAATTCATTTTCATAAATAAATATTGTTTCTATCTGTGGATTAGAACTGCAGCTATCTAAAAGTACTGTAAAACACTAGTTTGTTTAAGAACCGGAGTCACACAAAAGGTTAAATAGCTACTCAAAGAGAATTCTTGCAGCAGAGGGACCAGCAGGCCTCGTCCACTGCGTGAATCAGTCCCTCGAGGCCCATTCCTCTCTGGTTTATTTTAAAGCAAAAAAGATGAGCAGCACTCACAGGAGCTTCTACCCTCCCCCATTACCAACAAGCAGGGAGGTTCACACAGTCACATCAAGAGTTCACGCTGATGCTGACACCAGCTGAGCAACTACGCTGATGAGACATCTGCCATTTTCTACAGACCAAAAACATTCGTGCACACTAAAATACACGTATGGTCAAAGACAAAACTAAGTGAACTATGGAGATTAAAGAGTTGTAAAACTGTTATGTAGAAAGGCCATTACAAAAAGACAGCATATGATAGCAACGACTGTGAATTGTGCAGGCTAATGGCAAAGATTTAAATCACAAAAACAAACTCACATGAGCCAGAAAAAAGCTAAAAATATTCCTCAAATGGCCATGTTCACTATAGCCGTCTAGCATTAACCTTGTTGTCACTGAGATACACCATCATTTTCCAAATTAAATTTTTTTAAAAAAAAACAGCGTTTCATGACAAGAATAAAAAAAAAGACAAAACCAGAAAAGGCTTGAAAAACAGAGATGAATCACTCACCTACCACCATCAACGTAAACTCAAATCCTTTTTTTACTGATTTGCGATGAACCTGATTAGGCAGGTTGGCAAATCCAACATACCCCGGAGTCTCAGGGTTGGTGAACTGGCCCTGCTGTAGAAAAAAAACCAAAGTACAACAGGAGAGTTTTAAATAGCGTTTGGTAATGGTCACATTAAAACTTAAGATAAAAGAACGTAGCTTTGCACATACTCACTACTTCAGTTAAAACTATTTCTGTCACAAATCTAAATCAGGTTTAAGTTAAACATGGTTTGGTGTCAATATAGCAACAACATGCCAATTGTTAGTGCTAGTGTGAAAAGCTGTTCACCAACAGCCAGGATATTTAGCAGGGCTACGGTGACTCCTCTGCAGTCTATTTGCAAAAGACCTCATCACTCCAGTGTTTAAAGCCCTTTCCTACACAGCTCATACCAATGAGAAGTAGGCCAACTGGACAGCTTTTAACCACCCATGTGGCAATGCTACACAGTGAAGATGTCACATAAAATACATGCTCCTTATTTCGTTGGCTCATTTTTGGCCACACAGATGTATGAACCCTCACTTCCCCCTTTCAGCAAAGGTGATGACTGATGAGCCTGATAAGCGGTGTGTTGTGGCTGTGCCTTCGGGCCTTTTAGCGTACATAAAGCTATATCAGTGAGTCATGAGGATGGTGAGCAGCACACTGAGCGTAAGTCTGAGTGACCCAACATTCAGCTGGTAATATTGGTCTTTGAAAAACACCACAATGTGGGACCAAAAGTGGGGAAGGACAAAATGATAAGCACTGAAATTAGACATGAGAGTGCTCAGTTTAAAAAAACAGAGGAATGTATGTTTATGTTGATGATATAACAAAAACAACAAAGTTTCCATGATTAGTCTCAAAGGATGGTACCCGAGGGAGAAGAAGGAATCTGGTTAAATTGCATACTGCATCTATTCAGACGGATTATCTGGTTTCTGTTCAGAGACTCACCTTCACTTTGTCGGCCTGAGACATTTCTTCTCCTTGTTGAACCTGAGACAAAAGACAGATTGGATCACAAACAGAGACGTACTCACACTCCTATGTGGATGCCTCTTTTCTGAAATGGAGGCAATTCATATAAGCACATATGTAGAGGCCTGACTGTGTGACAGACAGGAAGTCTGGTTTGTGAGAGTGCTACTTCTCACCACAAAAATAAAAAAAAAATGCTTTTCCTGCTAAGATAGCTGCATTACAGCTGCATCCAACTATAACGCTATAACTCGAGGATTAGGCATTAAAACATGATTATGCTATTAATCCCAACTGGTATCATATGTTCACTACCTGTCTGCTGGTTGTTGTGTTATATTAAAACATTAAAAATTATCTGAAACGGTCAGAAACACACCCACTGCTCTCAGACTGCTTGGATGAAAAAAGAAATTATAACATTTTATATTTTTACCAGCTGATTAGACAAATCTATGTGTCCAAAGCTAGTTTAAGAAGCTTTGCCAATGCAGATTTAACATAGAAACATGTAGCACTGACGCTAACTAAGACGAACTCCCCATTACTAACTAGTTTCCTCACATACAACGTTAGCTAACGTTTCCGTTACTTTAATGGGAATTAACTGGTTGACGTTAATAAGCAACGGCCATTATAACGGTAAAAAAAAAGTCAGTGGGTGTGAGATAGTTTAATAGTTATTCTTGTTCTTGTAAACGAGCCCAAATGAAAGCTATTTACCAAGCTAACAGCGCTCGCTAGCTGTTCGGTATAATACAAGAAGTTAGCATAGCGTTCACTCCTAACTAACGTTAGCCGAGTAGCTTCTGCAGGATGTGAACTTAAACAGCTAATGTTAGCGTCGTCCGTTTAACTGCTACTCCGCCATTAATACACAACTTGGAGGATGAACTGTAGAATAATAACGAGTGTTACCTTACGGTCTGTCCGCAGAAAGTATAGCACAGATGGAGACACAGAGAGACGAGCCAACGATGAACAGTAGACTTGGCGGACACCTCAAATTCTTCAGATTCCGGTGCAGCAGCAGCTTCCGTTAGCACACGGACCACAATGCACCGGGCGAGAGCAGCAGGGCCAACATACACATGGAGCGTTTAACGTTTACACTGAAGGTCAGCCTGCTTACACCTTATCAGCCTTCATAAGCGCATTAAAAACAGTTATAATTTCATCAAACACCGCGGCTCTGTCTGGGTGATATTAAAGAATAAATAGATCTAACGACATCAGAGAAAAGTTGGAACTCCAGGCCCCAGAAGTCAAATAATTTTGGGTACCTTGAATTATTAATAACACAGTCTATGATACAGCCCAGCTGGAGCATTTACCCTCTTTATCTATGAACTCCTGTAAATATCACCACCACCTTTCATCCCACTTCTAGTAGCTTAGAATATGATTTTAAAAAAAACATACAATGCAGCATATTAAATACAATAAATGAATAAAGATAAAATATTGTAATCCTTATCGCACTGGGAGGAATGTAAATGTGAACATCTACAATTCCATAACCTGAGGTTTCACAAAAGATTGTGTGATACAGATGATGAGATTATTTTATCATCTAAAATCAATTTAGCAATTTTTCTTTTTGTATATTCACAGTATTCTATCGTGATTGTATCATACTTAATTAAATATTATTGTCATTTATTAGTATGGTATTCTAATGGATAATTAATTCATACTCAGATACTCCAATACTCACTCCACAACCTAGTAAATTAATCAGCCTCAAAGAAAGAAAGCAACTTGCAACTGGCTACACGCTGTAGGACAGAAAATGACTTAAGTATAAATAAATAAATGCATTAATAAATGTATAAATAAATACAGGAATAAATAAATAAATGCATAAATAAATGTATAAATACAGAAATTAATAAATAAAAGAATAAATAATTGCTGAAATAAATACAGAAATATTTAAATGTTGAAATAAATGCTGAAATAAATAAATAAAAGAATAAATAAATACTGAAAATAAATACAGAAATATTTAAATGCTGAAATGAATAAATAAAAGTTGATACCTAAACAGGACATAAATAAATACATATATTTCTACATTTCTGTATTCCTTCATTCATTTATTTATGTATTTATACATTTATTTATGCATTTATTTAATTATTCCTGTATTTATTTATACATTTATTAATGCATTTATTTATTTATTTATACTTAAGTCATTTTGTGTCCTCCATAGTACTCAACATGTCAATAGGGTCTGCCTTTCTGCAGCTATTACCAAACAATAACAGTGAAATCTTCCAGATTGGGACGAAGGTGCATTGTGGTTGTATATGCTGTAAAACTATCTTAACTAGAGTGAAATGTAATTTTAAAATGTTTTACTCGCTGAGCTAGCCATGGGCGTTCCTGATGTTCTTGCACACAGAAAATGGCTAACTGAATGGCTACTTATGTCCAACTGTAGTCAAAGTAAGCTGTAACATTTAATATGCAAACAAACATTATCACAACGTTCAGTACAGTTCAACTACCAGATATTTAACATGCCTGAAGATAAGACCCTTTATATAATGTGCTTTAGAGCACCAAACGTGTGGCTCGTTGGTCTAGGGGTATGATTCTCGCTTTGGGTGCGAGAGGTCCCGGGTTCAAATCCCGGACGAGCCCAAGTTTTTTTACTTAAACCATGTTCTTTTTTCTACTCTAGGTAAAAGGATTTCTTGCACTCCTGTCGTACGTACAGTATGTCCTTATTGTATTATTGCAGAAGTAGACTCACGGATGTGACTGCTGAAATGGACAAGATACTGAAAGATAGACAAACTATAGAGCATTATACTGATCTCTAGTGGACTTTTGCAACACTACAATTTGCAACACTGCAATTAAAAACTATTCGGCTTTCTGTTCATTGCTTTATTAATTTGCAATTATATATTAATTAAAAGCCTTTGTGTTATTTTCTGCTCGAGGTTCCTTTTCATCTACATCAAACACATAATTTAGTCTAATAAAATCAGATTTTAGCTCTAGTAGTACACTTTTTTTTTTCATGCAACAGATTGTGTCAGTTAATTATATATCCATATACTGTATATATAGTTTATCCAAATACAAGATGTTCAGTTTAGATACAAAGCAGATAAAGGAAAGTATTGCATGCACAGGAGCTCTGTGGGTCTGAGGCCTCTTTCAGTTCCTGTCTCTCCACAACATCCGTGAAGAGGAAATTTATCATCAGATTACCAACAACTGAAAAACATGCTTACAACAGTCATGTTCTCCAGGTCTAAATCATCAGCCTATACTTATTCTGTGCATGGTCTCACTCCAGCGGCACAGGAGGAGCATCAGACTTCTTAAAGATATGCTCACTTAATGCCTTTCTGTCTTCACCCAGTAGGGGCTTATCTGAGCTTGCTTTTGTGACAGCATCTCTGCTCCCCTCCCTTCAGTCTGGCTCAGGACAGCCACTGCTCTGCTTAACACAAGTCCAGGAGATATCTCGGTAAATACCACTCTTTCCCTCTCTGTTACAGCGAGCATATCATCGCCACAGGAGCTACACTATTTCCATTATTCCCATAAGCCTCTTAGTGGCGCCATGCTCTGTCAATTGCAGTGTGGCTTCATAGCATTCAGTGTGTACGTTTCTTTATATTTTAAATGCCTATTTCTGTACCACCCTGCTATTGCAATGAATGTAATGAATGAGAATTAATTACTGATAAGTTACTGATAATTTTCATATTTTTAAATAGATGCTGTACGATTCCTCAGAGAGAGAAAGCAGTCGAGATAAAGAAAGGTAGGACCGTACCAGCATTTTTGCACAACTTTTCATGTCTTGTGTTATTTCCATTTTAAAATATGCAAGAAACATGCTGACAAAAACTGGTGACGTGAATGTGAACAGACAACATAGTCTGCTTTTATTTCATCATTATTATTTATTCTATTCATCAGATTTACATGATCATTTTGGGCTAATGCAGTTCATTTAAAAATGACCCACTTCAGTTATTTAAAAAATAATAAAAATGCCTGTGTGTAATGGACTGTTCCTAATGGTTCAATAAAAAATTGTAAGTGCTTACATGAATTAAATTGACTTACTTTTGGCTTACTGCACCTCAAAGGACTTAAAGAGATCTAATAAAAAGGCAGAGATCGTGCTGTTATGTCCTGTTTTACAACATCACACAAAAAATTGATTCCTCACTTTAATTACTCTAATCTTCAAGCCATCCTTTTGATATGTGAACTATTATCAGATTTTTTTCTCCGTGTCTCGCTGAATCGCAGCAAATCCCTTCTCCCCAGTGTTCAGCCCAAGAGGCCTGAGTTTATCTGCTTTGTTACTATCGGCAGGGTCATGAACCTCAGGTAGCATCTTAAACTAGATAATTATAAATATCTACTTAAAAGTGGCTCATTCTCTTCTGAGCTTGAATTTCGTGTCCCCCAGAACAAAGAAATATCACAGACTCTGAGTCAGATCACTTTAGTGTCAGACGGTTTAATAGTTGGCGATGGTTCAGTGCAGAATGCTGTTAGTTGTAAAATAATAAACAACACAGTAATATGATCATGTATATCGATCACGTTCAAACCAAATGTCATGACTTCAGAGATAACTATTTCAGTCTCTACATTTTTTTTCAACGCATTGGAGCTATAATCATAAAAATAACTTCTTTGCCGCTGGATCAGTTTCCTCCTCCCTCCATCACCACACCCTCATCACCCCCTTAACCAGTCTTTTAAAGTAAGCAGCTGCCTGCTTAGCCGGCACCTTTCACTTTTCAAGCAGGACTTAATTTACTGCAGGACATTTTAAATCTCCTGCCTCTGTGGCTCTGAGTCGCTGACAAATGCCTGGTTGCAAATGTATCTCATTGACTGCTGACTCGGTTGTAATACAAGCTGGCTGATAGGGGCTGCCACAGTAATGTGGCCCTCAGGTTTATCCTCAGATGTTGGAGGAAGTGTATTAATTTAGTTTAGATGGGGCCTTATGAAAAGTGTTCTGGCAGGCAGCAGATCTCCTTTCCTCTCTCTCTCTCTCTCTCTCTCTCTCTCTCTCTCTCTCTCTCTCCCTCTCTCTCTCTCTCTCTCTCTCTCTCTCTCTCTCTCTCTCTCTCTCT